GGGACACGGCTGGTGCCTGGGGGCCCAGATGCGGCCCCCGCGCTGCGGGCTGGGGAGGGCACGGGGTGCGGGAAGCATCGCTCCTCACTTGGCTGGACCGGAACGGTGGGACGAGAGGGGGGAGAGACAAAAAAAAAGGGAAGAGGAGGAAGACCCAAGTGAAACCCATGTGCAACACAAGCCCTTTAATGTGAGGAGTGAAACAGAACACGTCTCCCGATGGCACAGGAAGGAAACGAAGGCGTTTCTTGGGTATTCAGAACCCATCCCAACGCTGGCCATGCTTGAAGAGGTGTGAGACCAAGCCACCAGCGTTTCCTCCCCCGCAAACGGGAAGGGACTGGGATTTGGGGAACCGGCAGCTGGTCTGACTGGACGTGACTCAGTGTACTTCTCTGCTGCAACCATTCTGCTCCCTGCACATAAAATTCGCTGAAACTATGACACAAGTGTAACTTCTTGCCCGACAGCCTGCTATGGTCTTCCCAAAGCCTTGAAGTTAGGAAAAGAGATGTGACGAGCGCTAGGTAAGCATCGGCGCACCACAGAAAGAGAGATGGGGTGAGAAGAGAGCTCTGTGCTGAAGCTGCTCATCTCTGTGTGTGTATCATTTATGATGAGAGCGGGGAAGGGCAGTGTGCTTCTCAGGCTGTTAGAAAGAAAAGAACCATAGGAAATCCAGTTGGAAATCTCTTCCAACTGGGAAGGAAAAACGTCCCAAGTTCAGCGAAAGAAAGAACAAATCACTCCCAGACTTCTCTGACTCGCAAAGCTGCTTATCCACTGCAAATTCTCAGGCCCTGGTGACAGAGATTGAATTTCCCCCCTCACTGCCTCTTTCGCTCCAGACCAGCTTCTCACATCTTGAAGTGATCAGCAGCTAAGGAAGGGCGCGTGTCGCTAGAGGCCCGGATTAAAGGGGAGAAGAAAAATGCAGTAAAGCTAGAAACATAGAATCATAGAATCATTGAGGTTGGAAAAGACCTTTAAGATCATCAAGCCCAACCGTTCCCCTACCCCTGCCATCCCACCACTAAACCCTGTCCCTAAGCACCTCATCTGCCCGGCTTTTCAATCCCCTCAGGGCTGGGGACTCGACCCCTTCCCTGGCAGCCCCTTCCAGTGCCTGACAGCCCTTTCTGTGAAGAAATTTTTCCCAATGTCCAACCTAAACCTGCCCTGGCGCAACTTCAGACCATTCCCCCTCGTCCCATCGCCCATTACCAGGGAGAAGAGGCCGACCCCCACCTCGCTGCAGCCTCCTCTCAGGCAGTTGTAGCTGCAAGAAGACTGAGCATCTTCAGCGGTGCCTAAGAGCCAGCGCCTGCCGTGCAGCTCCAGCAGCGTTGCTTTTTCTCCAGATTTTCCATGCGTTCCCCACGTATCCAGCATCGCTCAGGGAGCAGTAGGAGAGCGGGGGGACAGTCCCTGTGTCTTTCCAGGCCGGCTCTGGATACGAAGCTGTCATTTGCGGTCAGCCTCTGCTGCACGGGTGCGCTTTCATCTGGCTGCGTTCCCCGTTGCTGCTGGCTTTGCGGTTTTGGGAACAAAGCAATGGAAAGGCCTTTGGACTTTGTGGGCTGCAGAGCGGAAACAGCCCCTCGCGTCGGGATAATGTCATCGAGTTGCCCCGCAAACATGGCGCAAGGAAGCAGGAGCAATTTGTATGAAAAAGAAGGAAAAAAAATAAACAATGAGAACACATGGGCACGTAAAGAGGATTTAAGCGGCTCTCTAAAATCCCCTGATTTGGGTCATTTCTTTAGAGTCTTTAGGTTGGTTTCTGCTCGGTCCTGGTGTGAACTAGGCTCCAGCTCGACAGGGTTTGTCGCAGTTCATTTGAGCAGAGCTTAACACGAGGAAGAGGCTGGTGCATGGAGGGGGAGGAAGAAACAAGGAGAGGATAAATGAGAGGAGAAACTCTCAGGCCAGATTTGTGATAGGAAAGGTCTGGAAGCAGCCGGCAGGGGACAGCCTGACCGTGTCGGCTGCTCTTGGGTTGGTGATGTGCAGCTTCCACCTTGCCCGGCGTCCTGCCGTCCTCAGCCTCCTTCCAACAGCATATGGAATACAGGCTTGGGAGCAGCCTCGACGCCCTTCCTCTGCGCAGGTTACATATCTTCATACCTCAGAGCCCCGACTCAACAGTTGCTGGAGTCTGCACACAAATGGCTTGTGGTTTTTGGCCCCAGAGTACATGCATGGCCAAACTCACAAGATCTCCCCAAATAGCATCCTCTGGCCTTGCTGCCTGGGGCTAGGCATCAGCCGGCATTTGGCCCTAGAAATACCTCACAGCCCTCACAGGGGAGTGGGAGAGGACAAAAACCAATTGATACCAAAGGAAGGAGGATTGAAACAAAGGGAGAACCTTTGATCGGGAACAACGCCTGCCTGTCTCCTCTGCCTGAGCGCCAGGATCCGACCCCGAACCAGCTACACCACCCCCCCCAGCCGTGCTGGCAGCTCTCCAGGTGCTGTAGTACAGCGCAGATCACACGGGAGGGAGGATTCACCTCTCCCCTTCCGAAGGAGGAGGGCAGAGGGGGGTGCAGGTGACTGCACAGGTACTGACCGTTGCTGAGCCAGGCTTTCAGTCCAGGCCACCTCTCCGAGGAGGGGGCTGCTGCCCTTTGAGTCCACGTTTTCTGGCTGTGTTTGTATACATATGCATGCAGAGTCCTGCTCGTGAGCGCAAAGATGCCTATCTTTACTATCGCGGGCTTCTCCTGCCTGCACGAGAAGTTATAATCCCCTTCTGATAACATCAGCAGCTCCACAGGTATGCTCAGCTTTCTCATAGCAGGATCCCAGTGAGCTCTTCAGGTGCCAGGCTGGAGCCTGACCTTGACCCTTTAGGTTTCTTGCGGTTTCATTGCAGAGCGTTGACACCATTTCTTCACAAGACCATTTGGAGACTTTGGAGGCAACATAATACTTGTGAAATCGGACTGTTTAGCAGAAACGGCAATTGGGCTTTGGGCTGTTATCTGCTGAGATTTTTTTTTTTTCCCCCTTTGCTATTTCTGTATTTTTATTTTCATTTTGCTAAACCTCTTCTTTCTTTTATTTTGGCTTCCTCTTTGTGTCTATTTTTGTTTCTATTTGCAGGGGCTCCGTTCTTTTAAATACCAAACTCTTCTGGCAACAGGTTTTTAGCTCAAGGCAGATGGCCCGTTTGTTATAATGTTATATCCCAGTCATAGGATGCAGCTTGCAAACGATTTGCAGAGAAAATGGAACGTTCTGTGGTGCTACTAAAGTGGCTTTTTTCTTGCGCTGCTTTCTTTAGGCACATGGTACATGCTACGTCTCTTACCAGGCACATTCTGTCCCTTGGCTCAGCTGCTTCTTCCTAGGACAATTTCTCTTGGTCTGCAAATTATTTCACAAAAGCAGAAAGCCATCGCCAAAGGCTGGAAGCTGCCTGGAACGGTCCTCATTTTGAGCCCTGGCCATTCTTACTTGCCCACAAAATTGCTGTTTGTATTTCACAGTCTTATTTGTGTAAATACTCCCATTTGTCTCCATATGGAAATTTGGCCTCTGGCTGGATCTGTAGGTCCATTTCTTCCTGTTGTCTTCCTGTCAGAAGCTGTGGTAGGATTTGAAAGTACTCTGCAGCTTGGTGAATTCTTGCTTCTCATAAACCTGGCTTTCCCCAGCAGGCTTCTCCTTTCTGAGAAAATGATAGTGCTTATTGGCATGACTTGAACCACAGTTTCAAACTCGTTTTCAATTCTTCACCAGCTTCTCCCTCTTCCTTTGATTTCTCATGTGAAACTAATCTCTTGGGAAAAAATCATCCTCGTCAGAATGCACTACCCCTCCAGTTCCTGTCAGGGTAGTTCTTAGGCATTTTGTTCTGCGATAACTGCCTGTCAGACAAACACAGTTTCCTTTTGTGCTTCACACCACAGGTGCTAATTAAAAAAAGAAAAAAAAAGACATTTTCTGGTATGCTACTTGGACACAAATGGAGAAAGTACGCTGTTGCAGGAATGGCGCTACGCTGAAAGCTAGTAACTGGCTGTGATCTGTAGCCAGCACCACCCTCTTGTTCAGCTGAGCAATTATAAAGGTGAGAGGTAAAAAAAGAGCTCGTTTTGCAACGTACAAATGGTTGAAAAGACCGCAGGATAAGCTTGCTTACTGCTGACACGTCCGCGTGGTACAGATGCCTGCGTGCGCTACGGCGCCTGCAAGATGGGCAGATGAGCAGCACGGTGCTGATCTCATCAGTGGAACTTGTTCCTAAAAGAATAAAAACAATCTGATTGTCCTGCCAGATTTGGCAGCTGAGTACAACCCAGAGCATTAATTCTGCACGTTTTGCTGTGACACAACAGCCAAGGCAGAACAGCAGATGTGCTGGAATGCAAACGGCCAGATTACACATGGGTGGCATTTGATTACACAGAAATGCACCTCAAGGCGCCATTCCTTTGGCAAAAATTGGCGTTTCTCATCATAAAAGCCAGGCTAATTGCCTGACACCTAGTGCTGGTAGTCAGAGGTGCAGCTTGTGAAGGTTTCGGCACCCTCAGCCTTGGCCTTTCCAAGTGTGGCAGGCTGTCCCTGCACCCCTTTGGGACAGACGGTGGATGATACAACCTCTCTGCACTCAAGCGAGGAGAACAGCCGCCTCGGGCGCTGACCACCGGCGCCTCAGGGTTTTTAGCTGGTGTAGCTTAGCGGAGCCCAGGCTTCCGATGAGCGATGCAAAACCCTACCACATGAGCATCTGAAATTTTGCGAGGAGGGTTGTACAACACGCCTGTTGATGACTGCAGAGCAATGGGGGCCTGGGAGGCCCCACCAGCCCTATGGAATAGCCTAACATAGATCATGTTTTCCATTTCCTAAGCACCATGCCCGCCTTTGGCAAGTAACTAATAATAACCAATAAGTAATACATGCTGCTCAAACTGTACAGGTAAAGGAATTTCACACTGCATTAACTTTTGTGCAAAAAGATGTCGAAGCATCAGTGTAGAAGCTGTTAAAATATTTAACTGCAGGATCACTGGCTGTGAGGGGGGATTTCGTCGCAGGCCTCAAGAGATTTACAGGACAGTCCCTTGGCTGCTTGCTGGCTACAGTCAGAAGGCGCAGGGCGACAATTCGGTCCAGAAGGGGTGAGACAGGCCCGAGTTTATGAGGAAAGTCGCCTTGGGAGGTGGGAATGGGACAGGAGGGCAGGGGCTGAGGTGGCAGCGGTACCTG